TGTCTGCAACTGAGTCTACCAAACACCTGGGGCCTACCACCACCGCAATAGTTGCTGCCAATGTTACCTACCTACGCTACCTGACTCCATACCTGTGAACGTATGGAGGTGTCTTTTGTACGGCGGCTGCAGCGAAGAAAGATACAGGGCCCTCCACTACTTGAATGGGCTCCCTGCTACCGCTGGTGGACCAAAAGGTACCTGAGGTAGGCCCGGGGTACTTCCAGGTTGCCTAAGGTACCCAGCTGCGGGACGGGCCAAGGCTCCTCTTGCCTCTGTGTCCCTCTCTATGCCTGCCTACCTATGGCCGCTGACTGGTGACAGGACGCTCTGCCTACCCACCTCCTACCTCACCTCCCGCATCTCTCCTAACAACCTTCTTTGCCTCACTGCGCACTTCCGACCGGAGACAATAACCCACTCGCACACACATACCGTTTGACAAGCGCTCAGACGGGGGCGACTACCAAAACACCAAACTCGCTCCATCCTGTCGACTTCCCATCGCCAACCTCCCTCTGCAAACGTTCGAATCCGGTCGGCGAATCGTTCTCTCACCGCACGACTTGATCGGCGAGAAAACCCCTCGTTCTCCTCGCTCTGCCTGACCATCGCTGGCCCGATACCAGCCCAAGCATCTTTAGCATACCATACCTTACCTCCAAACCAACTTGGCCCTTCGCTCGGGCTTCCCGCCCGCCGCCGCGTCACCTTATCATCCACCGTAGCCCCGAGGAACCCCAAAAACCCAGCCCACTTGGCTATTCGAAGCGGGGGGTTTCTGCACTGCACAGCACAGCACAGCCTCAGCTCTGCCTTTGCCGTCGTCGTCAACCTCAATTCCCGTTCGCATCATCTCGCCGTCGCTGCACACCTTTGCTGCGTGCATCCCGTCCTCGACCGACGCCAGACCTACCCCGTACGATCGCGATCCGGTATCCTCAAACAAGTTCCGCAGATCATTCGTGACCCCTCACCTGTTCCAACACTGGGCGACTCTCGTCTGGACACGACAAATATTCTGGGAGTTGATACCGTTGTCGCTGGACATCCTGCGACGAAATGAGTTCCTCCCGCAATGATGCCGGGCAACCCAAGTAAGTTTGCTCCTGCTTGGCCGGACCCATCTTCATGGACTCTGGTCATTCCGATGTCATCAAAGCCGGGAAGCATAACGATAGCTAACTGTCACTGCCCGTAGCCGCAAGCCCAATCTTCGAGTAACGAGTTCGTCCTCTCCGCGTCGGCTCCCCGCGCTGCATCGACAAAAGCTAACTTGGACACAGTCATCGCCGCAGATGGCCTCTACAAGCGAGATGTCTTCCGTACGTAGTCCTTGTTGCCATCGTACTTCACCATGTTGATTAACACCGTCGACAGGGTTTCCGGATCCCTTCGCTGTCATTACCGTCAACGGAGACCAGACCAAGACTACGACGGCTCAAAAGCGGACGTTGAACCCGTACTGGAACGAGAGCTTCGATCTGTGCGTAGTGCTCCGGACATGTCTCGTGCAGAGCATCATCGCTGACAAACCACAGCCACGTGAATGAAGACACCATTCTCGCCGTCCAAGTATTTGACCAGAAGAAGTTCAAGAAGAAGGATCAAGGATTTCTCGGCGTCATTAACGTTAGAATCGGCGATGTTATCGAATTGGCACCCGACGCAGATGGTAACGCTCTTCCCCTCGTCAGCTTGTTTCATCCTGTAGGACGTGACTAACCCGCTTCCCGCCGTAAAGACCAGATGCTCACGCGAGACCTGAAAAAGTCGACCGACAACCTCGTTGTCCACGGAAAACTAATAATTAACCTTTCTACGAATCTCTCTACACCCGCTCGCGCTGGCCAGGCCTCGTCCAGTCGTCCCTCTCTCGTCCCGCCCGCTCAAGGATCCAACATTTCGTCGCTCTCCGCTCCGCCGCCCGACGGCAGACCGGGCTCCGCCATGGGCGCTCCCAACGGGGGGCCGGTTCCTGGCTCTCAAGTCAATCTACCGCACCGCCCGGCTAGCATGACGTCAACCGGACCTGCGCCTGCTGCAAATGGAGCCGCGGCTCCCGCGAGAACCACCGCCAGTACTCTCAGCCCGTTTGAAGATGCGCAAGGCCGACTGCCGGCGGGATGGGAACGCCGGGAGGACAATCTGGGACGGACATATTACGTTGATCATAACACGAGAACGACTAGCTGGAACAGACCTACTGCCACCGGAGCTGTGGAACAGAGAAATGAGCGTGAAAACGCAACCCAAGTGGAACGCCAGAGACATCAGAACCGAACGCTTCCCGAGGACCGTACCGGTGCAAACTCCCCGACTCTCCAGGCCCAGCAACAAGCGGCCCAGCAGAACGCGAACAATGCCACGATGATGCATACCGGCGCCACAAGCCCGGGTACTGGCGAGCTGCCTCCCGGTTGGGAACAGAGATGGACGCCGGAGGGACGACCTTACTTCGTGGACCACAACACCCGGACTACCACCTGGGTGGACCCTCGTCGCCAGCAATACATCCGTATGTATGGCGGCCAGAACAACACAAATGGCACCATTCAGCAACAGCCCGTATCCCAATTGGGACCTCTGCCTAGCGGCTGGGAAATGCGCCTCACCAACACAGCAAGAGTGTACTTTGTGGACCACAACACGAAGACGACAACTTGGGATGACCCCCGCTTGCCATCATCCCTGGACCAGAACGTGCCTCAGTACAAGCGAGACTTCAGAAGGAAGCTTATCTACTTCCGCTCGCAGCCCGCTATGCGCATTTTGTCCGGCCAGTGCCACATCAAAGTGCGCCGCTCCCACATTTTCGAGGATTCTTTCGCAGAGATCACTCGGCAGTCTGCTACTGATTTGAAGAAGCGTTTAATGATCAAGTTTGACGGAGAAGATGGTCTGGATTACGGTGGTCTGTCCAGAGAGTTCTTCTTCCTCCTTTCCCACGAGATGTTTAACCCCTTCTACTGCCTTTTCGAGTACTCCGCCCACGACAACTATACCCTCCAGATCAACCCCCACTCCGGCATCAACCCGGAGCACCTGAACTACTTCAAGTTCATCGGCCGTGTCGTCGGATTGGCCATTTTCCACCGTCGTTTCCTCGACGCGTTCTTCATCGGTGCCCTGTACAAGATGATCCTTGGCAAGTCGGTCGTTCTCGCCGACATGGAGGGTGTTGATGCCGATTTCCACCGTTCCTTGCAGTGGATGTTGGACAACGATATTTCTGGCGGTATCCTGGAGCAGACGTTCTCTACAGAAGACGAGCGCTTTGGTGTCATGACGGTCGAGGATCTCATTCCTAACGGACGTAACATTGACGTCACGAACGAGAACAAGAAGGAATACGTTGATCTTATGGTCAAGTGGAGAATCGAGAAGCGTATCGCGGAGCAGTTCCAAGCCTTTAAGGATGGCTTCCACGAGCTCATCCCTCAGGACCTTATCAACGTCTTTGATGAGCGTGAGCTTGAGTTGCTCATCGGTGGTATTGCGGAGATCGATGTCGATGACTGGAAGAAGCACACTGACTACCGCGGATACACTGAGTCTGACGAGGTCATTCAGTTCTTCTGGCAGACGATTCGCTCCTGGGATGGAGAGCAGAAGTCGCGTCTGCTCCAATTTGCTACGGGTACATCACGTATTCCGGTTAACGGTTTCAAGGATCTCCAGGGAAGCGATGGACCGAGAAGGTTCACTATTGAGAAGGCGGGTGAAATAAACAACCTTCCGAAGGCCCACACATGGTAAGCTCTGTTGTTATTTTCGCAGCCGATATTTGTCGCTAACCCATGCATAGTTTCAACCGTCTGGACTTGCCGCCGTACAAGAGCCTCGAGATGCTGCAGCAGAAGCTCACCATTGCCGTTGAGGAGACCATGGGCTTTGGCCAGGAGTAGTTGCAAGCAGAAGCCTGCCCGAGATTTGCGATCTTTATTGTTATCCGGTTCGACATAGGCTCAAGACTTACATCATGCCTTATGGTCATGCGTCATGGCAATGGACCGGCCCGGAGCTGTCGTTTGTGTGAATTCTGCAGCATCAATTTCATTCGGAAGTTCGGCGTGCGGTTAGGGATATTTGGAATAAACCTTCTCTTTCACTTTCTATATGTGGAGGGCCGAGGAAGTGACGATGAGACGACGAAGCCGTTCGAGTCAAGAGATCGAAAGAGAGCGAGCAAGAGCGTGGAAGAATAGCTGTGTTGTACCAAAAGCTCCTTGGGTGCGGCGAATTTGCATGGGTAACCTAGAAAACTGCGAAGTGCGTCGCAGCAAGGAGATAATACTTGCCTTGGAAAAGCTGCAGCCATACGGAGCCTCCAAGGGCAAGAGGCGGGAACGAGCTTGCCATAGGGCGTCGACGTATTTGATTATTACGGGCATCACAACTCCAGTGTGTAACCGCATCAGACATATAGGTAGTTATATATACACATCATGGACTTGTGGGATTTTGATTGTTCTGCATCGACCCGTCGGGCAGTATTTGTGCCGTGCAGGTGGTCTTCCAATTTTGCCAAGGTCAGTGATAGTTGTTTTTGGATTGCGCAGAACTACCCGGGGGTGCTTCAACATTGTCTACCAGCTCGAAAGGCTCGGTCACCAGGATGCCATTCCCAGTCGAGATATTTACCACAATGGCACCATCGGAATAAATTTTGTCACAGCAGTCAGCGGCCACAGGCCATTAAAAAAGTAATCGTGGAAGCAGAACTTGTTTAATCTACAATCCATCCGCGGCTTGTCTACCGAATGGATCCTCCGCATATGTACACAGACGCACACGCATACAAAAGAAAGAAAGCCCAGCCTCCCGGATGCTCCCCCAATGAATGCCATTTTGCATATCAGCCTCTCTCCTGTAGGATCATCTCTCCTCTCTTCGCTCCGTCTCTAATGGCTTAGTGGCCAAAAGGCCAAGCCCAATTTTTTCCAACGCACCGGCACCCCACCACGCATAAACCACCCATGAAACAGACGGCAAATAATCTACTTGCGGTACCACATGCGGGTGATCTTGGTGTTGCGCATCTTACGCTGGAGCTGGAAGATGCCGTACATGAGGGCCTCGGAGGTCGGGGGGCAGCCGGGGACGTAGACGTCGACGGGGACGATGCGGTCGCAGCCGCGGACGACGGAATAGCTGTAGTGGTAGTAGCCGCCTCCGTTGGCGCAGGAGCCCATGGAGATGACCCAGCGGGGGTCGGGCATCTGGTCGTAGACCTGGCGCAGGGCGGGGGCCATCTTGTTTGTGAGGGTGCCGGCGACGATCATCACGTCGGACTGACGCGGGGAGGCGCGGAAAATGATGCCGAGACGATCCTGGTCGTATCGGGGCGTGGAGAGGTGCATCATCTCGACGGCGCAGCAGGCGAGACCGAAGGTCATGGGCCAGAGGGAGGACTGGCGGGCCCAGTTCGTTATTACGTCGAGGGAGGTGCTAGGACGTGCGAGTTAGTTTGGCGCGGACGGAAGAAGGTGTTTGGTGATGTGACAAGTAGGGAGATTATTGCGGTCGAGGGGGGGAGCGCTTGTGGGGGATAGTGGTGATGAGGGGTGGTTTTTCGTACAGAGCATATTGCAAGACGCCCTTGGTGGGCTCCTGGCTGGGCAGGGGAACCTCCTTGCGCTCCTTCTTGATGAGACCGCTGGCAGAGTGCGGCGTGACGGAGCTGGCGTCCTTTCGTGACGAGCTCGAGATGGAGGCGGCGGCGACACGGATGGGCATGAGGGACGCGGTCGGCCTCGCTACGGGTGCCAATTGAGGTCAGCAATGTCCATTCACATTATCGCAGTCGTTCCATGTGTCCATCCTGAAGTGCTGTGGGCGGGTGTGATGGCGATTGGGTTGTGGTTGGGGGTATCCGTCGTCGTCGTCGTCGTGGGATTCCCGCGAGGGAGTTTCTTTTCGGGCGCTCGGGTGTCGGGCCGGGGCAAAGGCTTACCTCGCAGGGCCATTGAGGCCGCTGTCCTCGTGGAGGAAAGCATCTTTGAATGTGACGAGAGGTTTTGGTGAAGGACAGGGGAAGGTGCGGCGGTGATGGAGTGGAGAGGTGTCGTTCGTCGAGGGGAGGGGCGGTGCGGCCGGCGGAGGACGGGGGGGAGTTCGCTATGAATGCGTGTGTCGGCGAGTGGTCGACGTCGTCGATGGTTTTCGCCTCTTCTTTTTCGGGCGGTTCGCTAATATTGCATTACGGAGCTCTTGATTGGCTGGAGGGGGCCGGGTTGGTCCGGGTTTTTGGCTGTGGTGGTTAGGTAAGCTGTGTGGGGTCTCCAACTTGGTTCACTTGGGGTTGTTGATCCGATGGAGTCAATGATGTGGTCAGTTCAGTGCATGCACGTTCATTGGAGGTCTATCATTCCGAGTTACTGAAGAAAAAACGTCTTAAAGACCGAATTGCCACCAGTTGGGTTTGTTTTCCTCCAAGAGCCAGGCATCAAGTGGCTGCAAAAGGTGTAGCGTTTCTCAGATTTGGACATCTGAAGACGAAGTGGACGTGTCATCGGTGGACGCAATGACATCTACGTTGTCGGGCTCTCAAACGGCATCCAGGCAACAAAAACGGCCCTTGGCTCACACGGATGTTCTCACATAGCCAAATTTGATTCTCTAGTCGATTCATACATTGTGATTTCAAAATGGGGAATGCCATCATGGTCAGTGTGTAGGGGGACTTCTAGTAGCGTGGCGACCTTGACATCAGTACCTCAGTAAATTCAACGTTCCTTTGCATAGTGTGAGTTGATAACCTTTCCGCTTATTGCTTCTTGGCTATTCTCTTCTTCTAGTCCTGCCTTTGAGAGCGTAGATACGCAATGAATAAATAAAGTCTTTAGCATCAAAGAAATGTAATGTTGCTGTAACTACAGAGATGGCGTGACAAGTTCATGATGTTTCGTTGAGATGGGCTATTTCTCCCATGCCAGAGCGACTAATTTTCATGTAGATTCATAACTAAGTCTGTTTTACTGTTGTCATTGTCCTTACTACTATTGTCATTACTAACGTCGTCGTTGTTTGTCAGCGCCTTCGTGTGTCGTCGTCGTCGTCGTCGTTATTTTTACTATCGTCCTCCTCGTTATCGTCATCGTCGCTATCGTTGTCTGTGATATAAGTGCTTCAGTGCACAGGAATAGCCACCTAGACACGGGGAAAAATAAGCGTTCTTTCTCATTACGCCCTCAAACAAGAATAGACGGAAACTCATATGTTGCTACACTATTCATATCATGGTTGATTCCTCTACTTATTGGCCCAACACCGCTGCATTTTCTTCATTATGTCGAGGCTCATTCGACCGCTGAGGAATGCGAGAGGTATGGGGCCGTGCAGAGGTCAGACCTAGTTGTTCAAATTCCTGCACCAATACCACCAGATTTCCCCAGTAACCACAAAGCAGAAATGCATATTTGACAAACACAATCACTCAACCCGTCTCGTCCTTGAGGTCTGCCATGCCTTCAACCAGCATTGTCTGCGAGTCTTAGACAGCAGCTGCGGTTCAAATTTACTCACTTAAAGTGGCTCGGCGCAATCTCCCCCACTACGCAATCATGTCCCCACGTCAAGCGAACCAGGGTCTGCCACCGCGGCGCATCTACTGGTAAAGGGGCTCCTGAGCCGCGTAGCCTTTTACGAAAGCTACCCGCAGCAAATGGCTTTCGTCATTCGTGGACGACGGAGGGTCTTTGCTTTCGTGGACCGACCTTCGCTTCTCCTCTGTCGGTGTCGAACATGGGAAGCCGGCCGCACTTCGAAGCCCCCACGGTGACCTGAACCTGATCTTCCCCATCCACTGAGCGGAAGAAATCTCGTACTCAGTCGCCATGGTGTGGCAGGCAATCAACAAGCCGCCGCCCAGCAGGTCGCCCATGTTCCTGCTCAAGGGTGTGCTGGTTGTCTTCACTCTGTCGCTCATCCTGACGAGTTCCTACATCTACCGCGACACTATCACTCAGAAGGCCTCCACGATCAAGTTCACCGACGGCGAGGCGACCGACTATTTCAAGTACCCGTTCAACTCGAGCGACGCCAACGCGAACCCGATCGACTGGCTGATCCACGATGCGCGAGCGAGGCAAGATGCGGTCCTCCAGAAACGGAGCCGCACGCTGCATAATGCCGCGCAACGCTACCGAGAGCGGCGCGGACGACACCCGCCTCCGGGCTTCCAAGAGTGGTTCCGCCATGCCGAGGAGACCCAAGCGATTGTCATTGAGGAGTTCTTTGACCGCATCTACGACGATCTGAAGCCCTTCTGGGCCGTTGAAGCCAAGACGATTGCAAGCCAGGCGAACACTGCGGAACATGTGATTCGGGTTCGGAATAAGAAGGTAGCGAGCGAAGGAGACACTATGGACGCAGGGGACACCAAGGACGAAGGGGACACCAAGGACGAAGGGGACACCAAGGACGAAGGAGATATCGAGGGGAGGGGGCCTTGGCTGGAACTGTGGAAAGCGCTCGTGACCGAGTTTGAGGAGTATCTTCCAGACGTGGATATGCCCATCAACTACATGCACGAGCCCCGCGTATTGGTCCCGTGGAAGCTGAAGGAGAAGTACTTGGCGAAGGAGGAAAAGGGACGCAAGATGCCCATGAAGAACAAGGCTACGAGCGGCTACAAGGGTCTCACGGACGTGGGCAAGTCGTACTCGAAGGAGTGGACGAGCGACGATCGTCGCAAGTACTGGGATCTGGTGCGCGAAGCATGCCCCGAGGGCTCACCTTCCAAGAACGTACCCGCGGCAACAGACTTGTCACTGCCGCCAACGTTGCCATATTCGTGGGAGGCACCGTTTGCTCGACAAGGCTACGTCCAGAATTTCACCGGTTCCCAAGATCCTTGTGTCCAACCCCATCTACGTTCGCTCCATGGGACTTTCGTGGAGCCGCTGAATGTCAACACCACAAAGGACCTCATTCCCCTCTTCGGCGGCTCCAAGCTCCGCGTCAACTCGGACATTCTCATCCCGGGTGCCATGTACCTGTCCGACGACGAGGCTTACACGGGGGGCAGCTCACATGGCCCGGCATGGCCAGACAAGCTCGACCGCCTTACATGGCGCGGCATAGGGTCTGGCGGTCTGACACAGTCAGACAACTGGATGCACTTCCACCGTCAGCGCCTCGTTGAGATGCTTAACGGAACGACCGTCCGTGGCATGGAGGCCAACGACGTCCGCGCCATGACGTTCGACATGCCCCCTCTGGAGCGCTACAACACCACGCGTCGCCGCGAGAAGCGTCTAGGCGACTTCCTGTCCGGATTTGCTGACGTGGGCTTCACCCATTTGTCGTGCGGGCCCAGCAACGACCGGCGGAAGGAATGCGACTGGATCACGCCGCACCTGTCCGTCGTCAATGCGACGCCCATGGCAGAGCAGTTCTCCAGCAAGTTCCTGCCCGACGCGGACGGGTACAGCTTCAGCGGCCGCTTCCGCGCGTTTCTGCTGTCGACGAGCGTGCCGCTCAAGGCGACGGTGTACGCCGAGTGGCACGACGACCGCCTCGTGCCGTGGCTTCACTTCGTCCCGCTGGACAACACGTTCCAGGACCTCTACGGCGTTCTGGACTTCTTCACTGACGGAGATGACGCTGCGCCCTCGCAGTGGGATGTGCACAAGGTTCTGGGGAAGAAGAGTAAGGGCGATGACGCTGCAAGATGGATCGCCGAGCAGGGCAGTGATTGGGCGGCAAAGGTACTCAGGCGCGAAGACATGAGGCTGTACGTGTGGCGGCTGCTGCTTGAGTTTGCCAGGCTGTGCGACGAAGAGAGGGATACGCTGGCCTACGTGGACGATCTGCCTTGACGTCAAAAAGGAAGGAAAAAGAGAGTTTACATAGACTGCCGTGTGTGTGGCATGCGCATATATGACATATCTGGGGCAGGGAGTCAAAAAGGAGAACCGGCGTTCGGGCATTTTCAAAAAGAGTGGACGCATGGCGAAGGCATATTTCCCCCCGCCATGGAAGAGATACATGGCCGCCCTTTTACATACACAACAAACAATTAATGATCGTTTTTCAAGGTGGTAATCGCTTACTCGCAAGGGCAGCACCCCTCGTGAAGCTTATTTTCGCGCGCTTGGCAGCCCCCAAATGCTTGTTGGCGCGGAGGTGGAGGCGGAGGCGGACTGCCCCAAAGGTTCTCGCCGCTTACCTTGGCAAGGAAGGTGGCTCGTCCCGTTCGGAGGCACAACACCCAGTGAGCTGGTTTGCCTTTAGCCGGGAAGTTTGTTTGCGATCACGAATTGAGGGCGCGGAGGTGAGATTTTGCAGTTTGTCCGTGCAAAGTGCCGCGTGAGTCGGCCAAGTCTTGGAGATGCGCCCGCCGCGGGTGGCATGGCGCCGAGGCTTAAATAACGTGGCCGGCCCCATCCAAGGGTCGGCCGTGATGTGATTATGGGCGGAGGCGCCGGGAGCATACCGGGAAGTCTGGTTGGATGTAAGTTTCCGTGCGATCGGCACCCCGTCGCCAGGTCGTACTCTTCTGTAAGACTTGTGCGTTGGCACAAGAGAGACAATGCACCCTCAAGGATTTTCATATAAGCTGCAACGCGACCGGACCGTTCCTTAGAAAAGGCGTCAGTGGCCGTCGTCACATCAATTGAACGTCGAGGCGACTAGACGACAACCGCCGAGTCCCGGTGTAAATCGTGATCAAGATGCATGTTTGCGCGATCCCACAACAGCCGATATCCCACCCGGGGCCCCGATCACCGACG